GTCATGAAGAAAAATTAAGATAAAATTTTCTTCATCAAAAAAAAAAGAAGGAGGAAAAAAAAACTTCCCTTACTTCCTAATTCCTGACACGTGCATACACAAACTGGGTGATGGAATGTATTTAAGAGAGAAGATGGTCCATCYCCCAATAAATGGGAGAGCACAGAAAAGGAAGTGCTGGAGGCCAGTATATACTTTGTAACACTTTCACCTCACAGTTAACACATGTCACTAAATGTTACCCTCGTCCCACACCCATAGACCTGCAGGTTTGTCTCTGGCCCAGAAAATGGATAGTTTGTATGTTTATCAGTAGGAAGGTGCTCTTATCGGTGTTGTGCGCGAATTGAACGGATATCAGTTCTTGTGGTGAAGACATGAGCTACATCTGGCACAGATAGCAGTCATTTAGACACATTGCACGAGACCACTCGCATTAAAGGTTTTGGCAGTCRTGTTGAAGCCATCAGACAGCCAATCAGAGGATCGATAGCTGCCGTGACTTGCCCAACGACCCGGGCTGTTATCTCCACAGGCCAACCCTCCCCTCGATTCTGTCTTTCAGCGCACATCATGTTCACATTTTGTTTCACTGCCGCCTCTTTATACCTCCTTCGATTCAACCAATAAAACTTTTTGGTTAGTCCCCCCCCTTTCTCTTCCTACACCAGCAGTCTGGTTTTTCTGGTCTAATACACCTGGGGGGCCTCAGGGCAGGATCTACTGGGTTGATTAGAATCCTCATTAAAGAGAAAGCTAGAACATACCCCCTTCCCTCCACCCATCTTCATCCATCTTCCATTGTCTATTGTCTTCGTTTTTCCTTTCTTTCCACCTTGGCCTGTCACACAAAGTGGCATTTTTTTAATCCCTGCACTTTATCATAAAGGAAGAACTCATTACACATGTGTGAAGTGTATTTTTTTATCTTTCTTTGTCTTTATAATCTTTTGCATTAAAATCAGTGTCTGGACTGAACTCCATGGGAAGACTCGTCATAATGACACACTTTYCTTGCTTTCTAACTGGTGTGGTTTAGTCCTTTTATAGTAAACTAGGTTTATAAGAGAGGGGGTRGGATGCTGTTTCCAAAAGATCAGATCAGTGATGTTCCACAGGATGCTTGGGGCCAAAAACTAAACCTGATTATGTTGCCTGAGAAGACTAATCTCTCTCAATTTCTTTGTCTAATTCTAAAAACAATACAGTAATCTGCAAGYGTGTTTGTGTGTTCGCAAGCGTGATGTGTGTGTTTGCATAGGTGAGTAGTGCTTATTGTCAACTGGGGTCATACAGTTGAATTGACTGACACTGGATTTTCTAGCCAGAACATGCACTCTGTAAACACACAACACTGAACAGTATGTAGTAAACTTCTTGTAACTTATTTTTTAAAGCGTTTAATATTTAAAAAAAAWTACAGGGTGGAATTGTGAAAAATCTTTGCACTGTTTGACAATGTTACACTTGTATTTCTAGCCTCACACACCATTGTCAACATGCATTTGGTCTTTGAACTGTTCAGTGAACACAGATAAGCACACTGGCGCATTCACACTCGTGCTTGTTTCTGCTCACTGACTTCCTGTTAGTACCCCCATCTCCTAATTAGATTCCATTAAAGGTGGCGTTCATGAGGCTGGAGGTTTTCCTTGGCTGACACACCACTCAGTGTTAAAAATACCACCAATTAGACACAGTTTCAACACACCATGTCCGACCACCCAGAAAGATGAGACTTTACTCTGACTCGACATGCGTTTGACTTCAAACCGGCAGCCCCCCACAACTAAAAAAAAGGAAAAGAAAGAAAAAAAGTCACTGAAGTTTTTCTCCTGTCTGCAATGGTCTGGCAACTCCTGGAAATTGAAGGTGGAGATAGAAATCGTCCTCACAGGGAGGGGCGAGGTAGAGACAGCAGAGGGTTTATCAACAAAAGCAGTGCTTGGGGATTTACTGGACAAAGTATTGAAGTCAGAATAAACTCCCCAGGTGGCTGATGGGAAGGCAAAGAAGGAGCTTTTCTCTGTCTGAATATCAGCATTGCCTTTTTCTTTTYTGCTTTTGTCTCCCTTTGGTCTTATTATGGGGCCATCTTTACCTGTTGCTTCCTTTATCACTAGCTATGTTTACATGCACAAAATTCTTTGATCGGATTGAAACGTATTCGGATTAAATAATCGGAATATATGGTTTAAATGGGCACAATCCAAACATGACCAGGCTTTTATTCAGAATAGAAGCACTGACATGCACAGTTGCCACCTTTCCCTAAAAAAAAGAGAAAAAAAAGTTTTACTTTCATCATGAAAATAAACAAACAGCTTCTGAGCTCAGAATGGACCTGTGACAGGTTTTAATAATGTTGGAGATGTTACTGCACTCTCTGGTTCAGCTGCAGGTGACGCCTATATTTTTTATTTTATTTTATTTTTGTATTTTTTTACAAAGCGGTGCAGACTGTGTGTCTTCCTTCTTTATCGAATAAGAAAATGGGAGGAAAATTTCTGTGCTGCTGGAAACTACAGCGCTGCTGTCCCTCCCTCCACAAAGAGCAGAAATTGATGGATGAAAGTCAGCACACATGCCCAATCAGGTCAATTTTCCACAATCAAAATAAAATGATCAGATTAAGTGTTCACATGCACGCTGTTCAGATTATCAATTGGCATGAACCACCTCTCTCATTCCGATTACAAATTCATTCGGATCGAGCTGAAATCAGGCCAGAATAATCCAAATGGGGTGTTTACATGACACATTTTTATTCCRAATGGCCGTTTAATCCGATTACTTATATCCACGTAAACGTGACTCAAGTACCTGCTTACTTGTGATAAAAATCCTTGTGACATCATCTCAGGTTTCTTACCCATCTTTACCTTCCTTTCATTTTAAAAAATGAAGATGGATGAGAGAGACGATGCATTGGTATTTGGGGTATTTGTTCCCACCTCCGCCTCTGCGGTTTCATCTGTCAGCATAGCAGCAGCATCTAAGCTAACCCGGGCCGGCGTTGGAAATGTCACTCGGTGCATTAGCATTTAGCCACCACATTCTGCTGTCAGTCTGGGTTTATCTTTGACACCCCCTATGGTCTATCACCTTAGCTCCCAGTCGCCCCCTCCTTCCCAGTTTAGTCATTGTGCTAATAAGGCATGGGGACAGTAGAATTTATCAGGGCTAGACACTCCTGCCCCACCAGCCATTACTCATCTACTCCCCAGGATGTGTCAACTGTGGCTAATTGCTTTCTTTAACATCAGCACATGTGGCATTCAGCGGAGTCTTTACTCAAGTTGGACTTTTTTTCCACTATAGGCACAGTGCTGAGGCCATACAGGGGTTACAGAGCTGTTTAGCTGCAGAAATGTGTTAACTGTGTCTTAATATGTTGTAGTTATAARAATGTCATGAGTCATCTATATGCATTATCATCCTCAAAAGACTAAGTACAGAGGTATGTTTATATCCTGTTGCTAAAGAAGTGGCCATATTTTTGTCCATATACTGTGTGCATGTGCTTTTGCAAAATATATAGATTCAAAAGACGTACTTTATTGAAACTTTCAGAAATAATCATTAGGCGTACAAGTAATGAACTTTTGGAGTCAACCCAGGTAAAGATGATAGCCATAGCTAATCAGCGTTAGGAAACACAAAAATGGTAACTGCCAGATTTACCATTATATAACAGAAATTCAGTGTAGTATTAGCTGCATATTGCTAAGATCTTTGTTTAAAACTGGCACTATCTGTAGAAATCAATGCTGTCTTTTAGTAAAATATCTTAATAACTTGGTAGAATTTATTTATACACTAAGAAAATCATTTCATGTACTTCCACAAATACCATTTGGAGCCAAGTAAATCTAAGTTGTCTGCCAACACAACTGTAACTCAGTCCATTTTACAGATAAAACTAGAGATAATATTAGAGTGGTAATTGCTGAGTCATACACATCACATTCTGAGTACCAACATATCTTGCAAGATGTCACAATATCTCACGAGATGACACATAATGGCATTTATAAAGTTTGACCAAAACTGTAGTGATTTTCTCACTTTTGATCATCTTAGGCAAAAAGATGGGCATTAGGTGACAGTCAATATCCATCCCTTYAAGAATTTTTTTAAAAGCTCTTAATTACAAATTAATATTTTAATAATCAGATGACTTCAGCTCCTCAAACAATGCTAAAAGTTAATGAAGCTTGAGTAAAACTGGGGAAATTGTATAAAATAAATTGTGGAATTCAAAGTTCTTTAAAAATAAGTGTCAAAATTGTTAATTTGCTTTTTCAACTTTTTTTTCAAGATTTCCATTTAGAGTATTTTTAGTTATTTCCAAAATAAACAAAAAGACTTTCCCTGTGCTTGGTCAATAAAAGTAACATTCACTGACTTCCACAATGTTTTCTCTTCATTTCTTTGAGTGTTCCTGAAAGCCAACAAGTTGCACTTTGGAATGACCTTATTATTGTATCATGTTTTTGATCTGAGTTTGTTTTACAGAATGAAATGTCTGAATGAGTGCTCATCCAAGACTCATGATTCCATACTTTTTGCCAGGGGTTGTAGTATTTTATTTTTTTACTTTTTTATTTTGCTATTTTTTTGTTTCATACACATTTAAACACAAGTTCACATTGGGGGTAGAAGATTTGGAACAACTACCAGTGTATCTGCCAGCTTGTATGCTAACTGTTCTGGGCTGATCCAATTGTGAGAGAAGATTTTTTCACCCTGACCGTTATCACTTTGACAGTTTATCTCTGCTCTAAATGCTTTCCACTCCTCCTCATCCTTTTATCCAGGTGATGCACTAATAAAAGACCAGTAAGGAGCCACATTGCCAAGCATGTGGTAGTGTCTTGGGCCCCTTCACTAAATTAAWTTGGAGTGGCAACAACRTCTAAATATTACTTCTTTCTRGTTTTTTGTTTCTGCATGGGCATATCTTTGAATGTAAGGCTGGGTTCATTTCTGAACACATACATGTGAGGTGAACTGGCAGGCTTTTCCATTGAAACAGAGGGTAACCTGAGTGATGCAGGTAGTTTAACAGTGGCAGAGGAATTTCACCCCTCTTGTCACCAGAGTTTGATGGAGGCTGTGGAGCCCAGTGTGTCTGAGCCYTATTGGATCAAGCTACAGGCTCAGGGTGCTGACTCAGCAATGAATTAAACTGGTGCTCCTTTGGCAATGGAGRACAGWATGGGYCCAGTTTTTGAGTGTTAGTGATGCTAGCAGTATAATTTACATGGGTAATGTTAAAAGCAGCAACACACTTAAATGGAGGTAACACAGTGGCTCAGCTGATAGAGCTGAGGCCTCTCAGCAAGAAGGTCGCCGGTTCAAATCCTGGYCCGGGGACCTTTCTGGGTAGTTGGCATGTTTAATCTGTGCATGCATGGGTTCTCTCCRRACACTCYGGCTTCCTCCAAAAACATGACTGTTAGGTTRATWRMTWWMYTT